GCCAGCTCGCCTGTCTAGGCCTGACCTGGATTTGGGTCAGTCTCTAAGCCGCGTGACAGCGCCGGCCTCGTGGTCTGCATGGCTGGGTGACGCAGAAGATGGGGCTGCCCACTGGCTCCTCCCCAAGTGTGAGCTGATCTACCGGTGAGGATCTGGGGGTCTGTCCACCAGTCACTCACGCACCACTTCAAGAACAGGGGGAGGTTTCAGGGAGTCAGTGTGCACGAGCTCAGATTTCCCGGGAGTGCCATCTCCACACACAAGCCCTGGAGGAGATGGGATTCTGGCAATGGGGAATGAGTGGGAGCCCAGGAAGAGAGGTGGTGGGGAGTGGGGGGTGGCCAGAGGTGGCCCAGGCTGGTGGGAAGGAACAGGAGATTAGAGCAGACATGCAAAGGGGATCTCTCTGTCCTCTATTCTTTGAATGAGGTGGAAATATGTGGACAAAGAGGCTCTGGAGGAGGGGGTTGACCAAATGAAGCCCTGGACACTGGCCCCACGATGGGGGAGGCCAAGGCCAGCGGCACAGATGATCAGCCCCCAACACACACCCATGGCAGAGAGGAGAATCCTGGGTTCATGGAGGACACACCGCCACACCTTTGGGTGCCCAGCTGCTTCTGCAAAGCTGCCTCTCTGCCCACTAAACCCTCTGAGCAGCAGCCTGAGTCACAGGGCACATTCCAGGGCAGCTGTCCACAATGTATAGGACTCTGGTTCTCAAGATCCTTCACTTGGTAAAGGGCAGGTTGTGTTAAAAGGCACCTTCCTGTCCACTCCGGTCACACTGTGTGGAGTCAGCTGCTTTGTTTTAGAAAAGCAGCCACGAGGATGGTCATTATCTGGGCTAAAGCCTCTGCGGGGAGGCGGGGCCGGCGGGGCTGGCGGGGCGGGCTGGGAGCCGCATATAAACCCAGCGGTGCCCTGTCACAGAGCCGTGTCTTCCTCTTGAGCTGCCCCCTTCCTCTGGACCCAAGTGACTCAGGCCCCCCTTGCCTCAGTGGGGCCAGCCAGTGGGGGAGGTAGCATGGCAGAGGGAGCAGTGAGAGCCAGGTAGACCTAGTTCCAGGTCCTGGCCCTACCACTTAAGTGCCCTCCAGCACAAGTCATTGCACTTGGGCACCTCATCTTCACAGTGAGACAGGAAGCAAGGACCCCCTCCTGCCAAATGCTTATGAGGTGACAGTGCTACAGGCTCAGCACTCACTTGGCTGACTGACGAGAGTGTGGAGTTGGAGCCTAGCTGTGTGATGCTGGACAGGTTACCAAACCTCTCTGTGCCTCATTTGCCCCAAAGTGGGTAATTAAGAGGATAAGATGAGTGCTTGCTTTAGCAGCACACGTACCAAACTGGAACCATTCAGAGAAGACTGTCATGGCCCCTGCGCAAGGATGACATGCACATGCATGAAGCTTTTCACAGTTTAAGGAAAAACTATTTTTTAAAAGGGATAAAATGAGGTAGCATGTATAAAATGCGTGAATAGAGCCTGGCACGTGGGAGACATTTTAATATCAGTGTCCGCTTCTCTTTTTTTTTTTTTTTTTTTTTGAGTCGGGTCTCACTCTGTCACTCAGGCTGGAGTGCAGTGGCATATGCACAGCCACCGCAGCCTTGACCTGCTGGGCTCTGGCAATCCTTCCACCTCAGCCTTCTGAGAAGAAGGAACTACAGGTGTACGCTACCACGCCCAGCTAATTTTTTGAATTTTTGTAGAGACGAGGTCTCGCCAAGTTGCCCAGGCTGGTCTCCAACCCCTTGAGCTTGGGCAGTCCTCTTGCCTCGGCCTTCCAAAATGCTGGGATTACAGACTTGAACCAGTGCACCCGGCAGGTGTTCACTATTCTTGTTGGTGAGAAGAGGAGAAGCTGGTAAGTGCCACTTCTTACAAGCTGAGTAGGAAAATGACCTGTTCTCTCTGCGCCTCCATTTCCGCATCCTCTCTCACAGGTTTTTGAGGATTCTATGCATCATCCTTGTGACTATCTGTGCAGTAGCATGCTGTTTCTTCCATTTAAATATGCAGGCTCAGAGAGGTTGATAGACTTGCCCAAGGTCACAGACAAAGAAGTAGCAGAGCTATGACTGGCACCAGGGTGTGGCTAGCAAGACCTGAGCCTGCTTTGTCTGGCCACAATGACTGCACAGCCTCCAGGGGAGGTGCCAACAGTTTGGAGAGAGACACAGATTGTCCCATTTCTCTCCTGTGGGGTCTGGGCAGAGGTAGGGCCAGGCCTGGAGCAATTTAGGTGGTTTTTTTCTTATTCTCCTAGCAACTCTGTGAGGAAGGCACACAATTCCTGTTTTACAGTTGAGAACCCTGGGGCACAGAGAGGTTAAGAAATCTTGCCTGAGGTCACCCAGCCAGTGGAGGCCCTGGAGGGACTTTAACCCAGATCTGTGTGTTTGCAACTAGTGAGCTCTGCAGAAATGGGGACAGTAGCTTGAGGGGGCAGCATCACAGGTGAGCTTGTCACTGGGTCCAAGGGCGAGAGGTTGAAGGCTGGAGTGGGCATAGGATAGGGTAGGGTAGGAACTGTGGGGAAGATGGGAGGACTTTGTGGGCAGAGCAAAGGGCAGGGCTGTGGCTCTGCAGACTGTCTCAGTTGTCTGAGCCTCTTCCTGTGCCACCGTGGCTGCAAGAATAGGGAGCACGGCCAAGAGGTGAGGGGCCAGGGATGCCCCGTTTCACATCCCTGCTGCCCTGGAAAGCACAGGGTCCAGCACTGCGCTCTAGGCCTCCAAGGTGAGAAGTCCGAGATGGGCAAGGAAAGCAGAAGACATGGCTAGGAGAAGCGTGCGTGGCAGGTGTTGGCCAGGTCACCTGGCACCCGGGGACAAGGAGCTAGCCACCTTCCAGGAAGACAGGCGGCCAGTGTACAGGCTGTCAGCACAGGCTAGGGTGAGAGGTGTGTGTGCCTTCATCAACAAGACAGAATGGGGGCACAAGCGCCTAGCAACACCCCTCCCCCCCGTTCTCCCAGCCCTCAGGCCCCCTCCTCTGCTTGCCTCCTGGCCTATTTCCTCTGCTCTCCTGTGTCTGGCCCTCTTCTCTTTTGTTTTCTCAGGCTAGCTCACCACTGAGCTCCTGCTGCCTAGGAGGACAGGGCGTGGAGCCTGAGGTGACTCTTGGGTCCTGCCACCCCAGAGATCTGGGAGCCAAGCCCCACACTGGTTGCCTCCGGGAAAGAGGGCAGGGTGGGTCTGCAGGAGGTGGGCATGTCAACTTCAACAGGCTACCTCCTGTCCCTCCCCTCCTCCTCGGTGGTCTGGAGCCCCTGGCAGCAGGATGGATTGGGGAGGACAGTGCTGGCGTGTGCCCCACCACATCCATGTTCCTTCAGACTGACCAGAGCCCCTGGCCCTAGAACCCTGCTTTTCTGCAGTGTGGGCAAACCCCGGGCATCCATGTGGGCAGAATGGGGGCTGTCCCAGGGAGAAACATCCTTGGTAGGTGGAGAAGGAGCCGTTTTCTGACTCAGGGAAGTGACCCAGGTTGCTCCAAAAAGCAGCGACTTCCCAGGCTTACGTGGCCAAGGCCTTCCTGATGGGGATCCCAGGCCTGAAGGTCCGGTCCTCAGGATGCTGGACTTGGGGCCCTCTCAGGCCCTTCATTCTCTCCATCCCAGCCGGGCTTGCGTGTCCTGCCCCGCCTCGCCGGTCGGTGTGCGTGTTGGAGAGGCCCTGCGTCCGTGGCGCGGATGAGCCTGTGTGTGTGGCCCGGGCGCCTGTGTTCCCAGGACCCCGTGTGCCGCTGCATCCGTTGGCATGTGCCTGCGTGCCGGGGGCGGGCTGCAGGGGCTGGGGACCATCAAGGATGTTGCGCTGCGAGGCGGGAGGAGCAGCGACCCGGCTTGGGCGAGCCAGGCCGCGGGAGCCAATCGGGGCCGGGCTCGTTTCCCAGCAGCCAATCCGGGGCCGGGAGCTCCCGCGAGCCAGCGGCTGCTCAGAAACCCGGCGGGGAGGCGGGGCCGGCGGGGCGGGCTGGGAGCCGCGTATAAACCGCGCGGCGCCCGTCACGGAGCCGCGTCTTCCTCTCGAGCTGCCCCCTTCCTCCGGACCCAAGTGACTCAGGCCTTTGTTCGCCCTTCCCGGTCGAGTCGGCAAGATGCCGGAGTGCTGGGATGGGGTGAGTGAGGGCTCTGGGGACAGCGAGGCGGGCAGGGAGGACCGGGCATCCTTGTGACTTACCGCAGGGAGGTCGCGCCTCCCGCGGCCCTCGTCTGGTGGCAGCTCCGCCTTCACTCGCCTCACCTTGGGAGTCACTGAGGCCAGGCCAGAGGGCTCCGGTCTCCCTGGTTCTTAGAGCGGTGGGGGCAGTTGCTGGGCGGGGCAGGGCGTGGGGGAGCAGGGAGGGGTGAAATCTGAGGAAACAGTGCCATGTCTGACTTGTCGGCATTGCCTGTGTAGACCCGTGTGAGCGTGTGTGTATGACTTCTGATTGTATGTCCCTGGCTAGCATGTGCCCAGCCGGTTTCTGCCGCCTCCGGGACCATCAGCCCAGGGGACGAGGAGGTGTCCTCTGAGTTCCTGAGGCTGGGGATAGAGTGTGTCTGGGGTCTGTACCCGGCAGGGTCCTGTCCGTGTGGATGGTCGTCTTGCTTGTTTGATGGCTGCCCCAGAGTGCTACGAGGACAGGTAGCCTCTTTCTGGGAGCTGCCTGAGCAGGGTACCGCGGAGGCAGGGAGGTCTGAGCCTCAACAGTACTGAAGGTCTTCAGGCGGGGGTCCCTGTGGGGAAGGGAAGGAGAAGGGGCCCGTCGCGCCTTGTTTTGTAAGTGGGGGAAGGAAACACTGGAGCCAGGAGGCGGCAGAGATAGAGGATCCCAGGTGGGCCCCAGGGTGCCTCCTCCTGCCCTGGGGCAGCAGGTCCCCAGGCCCTGCACTGCTCTTTCTCGAGGAGGGAGCAGCAAGGGCAGACCTGTCCTTCCTTCCTCCCCCCGCAGACCCTCCCCCATGCACCTGCCCTGGCTGATTCCAGACCATGGGGTCGTCTGGCACAGGGCAGAGGCGACGGCTCAGCATCTGCCCACCCATGCAGACCCTGTCTCCTGAATGATTGACGTGGTTGACAGGCAGAATCACAGAACCGTCACCAGCCCCCACACAGGCACTGGAACACAGCTCAGACCCCCCCACCCCCCCTCTGTCCTCTGCAGCGCTCAAGGTCACAGGCAAGGGGAGACTGACAGACTGAAAGTGGACGTCAGCGCCCCCTCCCCTGCTGCCGCAGTGCCTCCCGCTACACCCACCTGGGGGTGGGGCGGGTTCTGACGTCACCGAGAGCCAATGGGAACGCTCGGCCTGAGGGGTGGGGGGCTCTGAGCGCAACTGGCTGCAACCCTTGGAGCGCCCCCCTTGTGCAGCACCCAGAGGGATGAGGATGCTCGACTTCTATCATCCTGAGCTGAGTCTGCGCTCCCCTCAAGGGTTGGTGGAGGCCCAAGAGAGGTCAGCAGGAGGGTTCAGCCAAGGTCACTGAGCCTGGGGATAGATAACCCTGCTGACACCCGAGGGTTGGCGCATGCCAGGCCCTTCCTGCCTGGGAGCTGAGCCTTAGTAGGATGAGCCCTGCAGGGCTAATTACTACCACTGGGGGATGAGGACAGGGACAGCCACACCAGGGCTAGGAAGGGAGAGACAAGGCCTCCTCTGCAGCGGAAGACAGACACCTCTCTGCTGGCAGAAGTCTGGGTTCGAAGACACCACCCTGGACTCTGACACCTGCCCGGCAGGTTGAGAACTGCCCTTTATTCAGCAGGAAGCGCATTGCAGCTCTTACACTGAGTCCCTCCTGCCCCCAGCCCTACCCTTCAGAGATGAGAGAATGGGACAGGCAGCTGGGGGGATGCGTAGTTGCTCAGGCAGTCCCTTGGGAGAAACTTGATCTCCTCCTTAGAATATGCCGCCTTCCTCCACAGCCCTGGCCCCTGAGATTGCATCTGGCAGGGCCCACCTGGCCCACTCTCAGTGTGACCTTGGGCAAGTCATTTTCTCCTTTCCTGGCCTAAGTTTCCTCCTTTATGGCTTGGATCCATGCGAGGAGCAAATGAGATGACACGTGAAATGTATCTGGTCAGTGGTCAGTGAGCAGGAAGCGTTCCTTGATCTGATGGGTCCTGAGAGAGGACAGGCCTTTGATGGGAGAGGCTAGATGGACCCAGGCCTACCTGGAGGACCACACAGAAATGAACAGAGCTGCCAAACAGAAGTGTTATCACCTTTGCCGTCCCCACTGGAGACACAGGCTTAGACAGTGGTCTTCTGAGACCAAACCCAATAAGGCCAGTCCCTGAAAAGCTGTTTCCTGCTACTAGGTCTCCTCTTTCCTGTTGGAGGCAGGAAATAGGGTTATTTTTGAACAGGGAATAGGGTTCCTTCTCCTTTGGGTAATACTTGCTGTTTTCTTCCTGTCCCTGACCTCAGCCCCACCTCCAACTCACTGGGCCACCCACTGCTGTCCACAGGGCCCCCGTGGTAAAGGGCAGGGCTGTTTATTCTGCTCTGATAGAACTTCTTGGAGTTTGCCCAGTTGGGTGGCCAAAAATGACCAGCTTGCAAAGGGACCAGCCAGCAGGCCACATCCTCAAGTCCCGGGGTGCCCCAGCACAACAGCCCCCATTCTGGGACCCTCTCCACTGTTGCACAGACATCAGCTTGCTTAGTTCTCACAGAGTTCTTGTGAGATGGGCCCGGAGGAAGAGGCTGCGGGCACAGAGAAGTGGCGGGCACAGGGAAGTGACGTGCCCAGCTGAGAGTCACACGGAAGGGGTAGAGCCGGGTCTTCCTAAGGAACTGATGACCCTGAGCAGCAAAACCAAGAGTGTGAGCTCAGGAGTGTCCCAGAGCAGGTGCTCAAAGGTCTTTAGGGGTGGGGGTCTGACCCTGTCTGCCTGAAGGGAGGCCTTAGGGATGTCTGGCTCACAGGGAAGGCATTCAAGGTAAAAGGAACAGCATGAGCAAGAGCCTGGGGGAGGGAGCCGGGGCAAGTGTGGGGGTCAGGAGCTGGGCTTGGCAGGTAGGGGGGGGTGTTTATGGAGGATTCTAGACAGGGCTGTTGAGGCTGTTCCCCTTCAGGAGCAAGAAGCCCTTGAGGGTGCGAGAGGGGTTTGGAGTAGGGTAGCAGAGCTGTCCAGGAGGGGCTGTCATGAGGCTTCACTGGACCCTTGAGGGCTGAGTTCAAGGCAGGGGTGGGGCTGGGCCAGCAGCCATGGCTGCACAAGCCGCTGGTCGGTTTGCAGAGAGGACCGGAACTTTCCCACACAGACCAGTTCCTGCGTCTCTGTGCCGAACACCCCTGAGAGAGGGTGCTCCATCTGGTCTCTCCTCTCTGGGGGTTTCCTGGGGTGATGAGAACAGGTACCCCAAGTGGGAGACCCCACCACAGGTCCAGTAGCCCCCAGGCTGCTCCACTGCCTCGCTCCCCAGAAGAGCCAGGAGTGGGGACTGCCCAGAGTGTCTGGCGCGGTCTCTCCCCTCCAGGAACACGACATTGAGACGCCCTACGGCCTTTTGCACGTGGTGATCCGGGGCTCCCCCAAGGGAAACCGTCCAGCCATCCTCACCTACCATGATGTGGGCCTCAACCGTAAGTCCTCCCAGCCTCATTTGGCCCTCCTCTGCCTCCAACCTGCCAGAGCAGTGAGGCTCTCCCTCCCTCCCCACAGGGCCTTGTAGATCCCACTCACAGCTCTGTGGCCTTAGTCATCTGACTTCCCTGCTGGACCCTGAGGCTGATGACCTGTGCCTTACCCACCCTCTCAGGGCCCACTGGCCTCCCTTCCGACCCCCCACCCCCTCTGCTCAGCTACAGCTGAGAGGTGTGTCTTTGCAGACAAGCTATGCTTCAACACCTTCTTCAACTTCGAGGACATGCAGGAGATCACCAAACATTTTGTGGTGTGCCACGTGGATGCCCCCGGACAGCAAGTGGGAGCGTCACAGTTTCCTCAGGGGTAGGTACCCAGACACCCCCTCCCCATCCCCAGCTCTGCATGCCAGGCTGCACCTGGGCCCTGACTTCCTGCTCTGCCTGCAGGTACCAGTTCCCCTCCATGGAGCAACTGGCTGCCATGCTTCCCAGCGTTGTGCAGCATTTTGGGTGAGTCTCCGCCTAGCCCCTGCCCCTGTGCTGGGGGTCAGAGGCTGCTCACCACCACCACAGAGCCACCTGGCTCCAGCTGAGGGCTTCAGGCTGTGGCGGGGCCTGCTCTGGATGGCATTTATGGGAAATGGCACCCCCAGCCCTAGAGTGACCAGCCTGCTCTGCACCAGGTTCAAGTACGTGATTGGCATCGGAGTGGGAGCCGGAGCCTATGTGCTGGCCAAGTTTGCAGTGAGTCTCCCCACCCCACCCAGAACCCCAGACCCCTTGCAGAGCAGGTGTCTCCCAGACAACCCCGCTCTGCTCTTCCTTCTCCCCCCACCACCCCTTCACATAGAAAACCCCCTCTTTTTCTTCAAGGAAATTGACTTTCTTAAATAAGAGATTCCTTTCTCCAATATCTCCTCAAAAGACTATAAATTATAACTTGTTTAAGCTATTATCCAAAACCAAAATTTCTATTAGCAACATACTATACGAGTGATTGTTGTAAACAAGAATAATCCTTCATTAATTACAATAGTATTTAAACATGAATCATTTTTTAATAAAAAAATTACACTTACATCAAGATTGGGCGGTTTAAAGAAGCCACATTTCAAAAACTTCATTTTGATAGGAGTCCACAAGTTTTTCATCTCTAAAAACAAAAAAGCCTAATATTTTAGGATTCAAAACATTTCCGTTTTTTTTTTTGAGTCAGACTCTCACTCTGTCATCCAGGCTGGAGTGTAGTGGCATGCTCATGGCCACCGCAGCCTCAACCTGCTGGGCTTAGGCGATCCTTCCACCTCAGCCTTCCAAGTAGCTGGAACCACAGGCATGTGCCACCACACCCAGCTAATTTTTTAATTTATTGTAGAGACAAGGTCTCACCTTGTTGCCCAGGCTGTTCTTGAACCCAAAGACGCAGGCAGTCCTCTCACCTCAGCTTCCCAAAGTGCTGGGAGTACAGGCGTGAGCCACTGTGCCCGCCTAAAATATTTCCTTCTTCAAAAGAAATGCCCAAGAATTTCCAACTCCGGTTTCCATTTTAGCACTTAACCATTTTGTTAACTGTAGACCAGGCCCTGCCACTCCACACTTGATGTGGTTACAGTGTTGTGTGCCATTTTTCTCAAAACATGGACCAACAGTTGAAGAGAAAATGCAAATCTCTTTTACAATGTCTAACACAAACCAGTCTTTGAAAAGGTCAGTTTCTTAATTTATATCACAAGGGCTTCGTTTTCTGTAAAAGCAAAGAAACAACATGTTTAAGATTTTAAGATGTTTAATACTCAGTTGTGCAATAGCACCATCTTCAAGAATGCATTAAAAGGGGTGGAAAATGGTGATAGACATTCTAAACAAATACAAGAACTGTCAAAGGTCTGAGGTGGGGAGGACGACAAGCAGGACATCTGGACATGAACAGGCCCAGTGCTAGTTGTCATCAGCGGCATCTTGAAGACTTTACAGAGGCTTCCAGCTCTCCCGACTTTTACAACCACCTGTGAGATAGGCAGGGCCAGAAGTTCACAGGCCATCTTCTAGGTGGGAGGGTCGGAGCTCCCTGTACCAATCCCTGGCTTGCCCAGCCCTGTTTCCCCTCTCATGGCAGCTCATCTTCCCCGACCTGGTGGAGGGGCTGGTGCTGATGAACATTGATCCCAACGGCAAAGGCTGGATCGACTGGGCAGCCACCAAGGTGGGCATGATGACCTGAGGTAGGGCGTGGGATGGGGGTGGGGGGCGGGAATCGGTAATCGGTGAGGGGCAGCCCTCACACAGGCTTCCCCCCTCTCGTGCAGCTCTCTGGCCTGACTAGTACTTTACCTGACACAGTGCTGTCTCACCTTTTTAGTCAGGTAAGGGTGCGGAGCTTCTGCAGACCTGGGGCCCTCCCCAGGATCAGGGGCAGCAGGATGAGATGGCATGGGGCCTCGGATAGCTGTAAGACCTGGTTCGGTCTATTCTCAGCATTTAGGCTCCTGCCCTTCCCAGCCCGGCAGGAAGAGGCAGGCAGGTGATATTTGGCATCTGACCCGTCTCACTCCATTATTGTCTCCACGATGCTGTAGCATCCAACAGATGGGGATGGGGGGCTCCTCCCCTCTGCTCCCCTTCCAAGGCCCCACTTCTGCCTTCCCCCACCCTCCTACCCCTGCCCTGCTGGAAGTAGGGCAAGGGCTGCTCTGGCGGTGACCTCTGCAGGCCCCCTCTGAGCCTGCATCCTTCTGTCTGCTCCCCCGCACACGCCCACCTGTCCCCCATACCCAGGAAGAGCTGGTGAACAACACGGAGTTGGTGCAGAGCTACCGGCAGCAGATTGGGAACGTGGTGAACCAGGCCAACCTGCAGCTCTTCTGGAACATGTACAACAGGTACAGGGATCTGCAGCCCTGGGACCCAGTGCCCCCCAGGGGGGCCCTCCCATAACTAACCATAGGCAGAGGCCGGGCAGGCCACACAGTCACCCCACTTTGCAGATGAGCAGGTTATGGAGCCTCGGAGGGGTTCGTTTCTTGCCCAGGGTCACGCCCTATAAGGGACAGATGGGGAGCAGGACCTTGGACTCTGACTCTGGGCCTCGGGCCCTTCCACTTCTCCTCCTCCCTTGGGGCACTGCTGACCAGGAGCGCTGAGGGATGTTGGTGACATCTCTGACCCCAACACCGCCCGTCTTGGTGTTGCAAAACGGGGGAGGAGGTCAGATGAGCCCAGAGTTTGCAAGCTGTTCTCCTTGGAGCCTCTTTGGCGGTTTCCCTGCAGGTGGTGGCCCCCACTGGCCTGCCTTCCCTTCTCTTTCTCCTGCATATATCTGTTAAGCACCTGCTGTGTGCATGGTGCTAGAAAAGCAATAGAGAATAAGAGAGACCCAGGGCCTGCAACCCATGCAGTCCAGGAGACAGGCCAGCAACAGAAACTCCCATAGCACAGGTGGGGGCACACATGGCTCTGAGGGGGTGCAGAGCAAAATCTGAGAGCCTGCCTGGCAGGGGTGGGGGGTGTCTGGAAAGAAGTCCCGGTGAGGAGTCATTTGGTCCCTGGTTATGCAGAGCAGGTCCCTGTTTGACCAACTGGCAGCGTTGGGTTCGGGGACCTCCCCTACCCAGTCCTAGATGCCTGCCTCTGTCTCTGCCCCTCCCCCGCAGCCGCAGAGACCTGGACATTAACCGACCCGGGACGTGCCCAATGCTAAGACTCTCCGGTGAGTGATCCCGGCCCTCCTGCCTGCCCTGGCCTTTGCTCCCATGCCCTGCCCAGACAGCCCTTTTCCTCTGTGTCTGCAGCTGCCCAGTGATGCTGGTGGTCGGGGATAATGCGCCCGCTGAGGATGGGGTGGTGAGTTGGGGCTGTGTGCTGACTGGGGGTGGGAGGTGGGCACGAAGGGCTCAGTGGCCCCAAGCCAGCAGGGCCTTCCTGATTCTGCCCAGGGCAGCCTCCGGGAGTGGATGGTGGGCTCCTTGTCCACGGCCCACCACCTTACCATGAATCATCACCTGCCCCCCATCCTTGCAGCGAGGGGACCTGGGGATGAGGGGAGCTGGGGCCAGGGTAGCCCGCCAGATGGTCCCCTTTTCTTCCCCAGCAGCACAGCCCTGTCCTCGGTCTCTATCTACCTCAGGCCCAGAGCCTAAGATCATTTTCTCTAAAATGTTGTTGACTCATTATAAAATAAGTAATGTGTTGGACACAGTGGCTCACACCTGCAATCTCAGCACTTTGGGAGGCCATGGCAGGAGGATCGCTTGAGCCCAGGAATTTGAGACCAACCTGGGCAACATAGCAAAACCTGGTCTCTGCAAAAAAATTTTTAAAAAGATTAGCATGGTGGTGTGCACCTGTAGTCCCAGCTACTTGGGAGGCTGAGGCAGGAGGATTGCCTGAGCAAGGAGGTGAAGGCTGCGGTGAGCCATGGTCATGCCACTGCCCTCCAGCTGGGTGACAGTGAGACCCTGACTCAAGGAAAAAAAAAGCAATGGATGTGCACAATGGTATGGTCCCCCTTCCACTGCCACTGGTACCCATTATGTTTGGGGACAGTGTGTCGTCTCTCTTGGTTGGAACTCTGGGAGCAAGTGGCCTGGGGGTGGGGTACCCCATCAGCACAGAGCTGCCCTGAGGCCTCGGGGTCCAGAAGTGTTCAGAGCAGCCCCTACTGTGCCTGGACAAGTCTTTCTGTGCCCACATGGAGGGCCTGGAAGAGTGGGGGGAGGAGGGTGGCAGGGGTGCACCAGCCTCTGGACCAGGCAGCAGCCTCAGTATCCTGTGGCCACTTGGCAGCCCTTACCTCACTGCCAGACTCCTGGGGCTTTCCCAGGCCTGTCCTGTCAGGATGACCCTGAAACTCCGTGTGGGCATTCCTAAACCCTGCCCATTCCCACCCCGCCAGCAGTTGTGAGGTGGGTCCGAGGGTCCAGACCCCTTGGGAGGCTAACTGGGTGGGGCAGAGGCTATCTTCCTCTGCCTCCCTGCGCCCTGCCCAGCTCTGGGCATAGAACCTGCCTTAGCAATGGGGTAGGCCGTTACTGAAGCTGACTCCTTGTCCCCAGGTGGAGTGCAACTCCAAACTGGACCCAAGCACCACGACCTTCCTGAAGGTGAGGCCTTCCTCCCCAGCCCTGAGCCAGCTCTCCCACAGCCCAGCCTCAGGGAGGGGCCAAGGAGGGGCCTGTCTGGGTCCTGGCCAGGGCGGGAACCTATCCAGGTGTGGGGCCCTTGCTCAGCTCACCCCACTCTCTCCCTTGCAGATGGCAGACTCTGGGGGGCTTCCCCAGGTCACACAGGTGAGACTCTTGTACCAGCTAGTTTGGAGGTGGGGGTTGGGAGAACACCTCCTCTTCCCGCCATCCCATGTGGCCAGTCAAAGCATGTGCCTGTCTTACCTCCCACAGCCAGGGAAGCTAACTGAAGCCTTCAAATACTTCCTGCAAGGCATGGGCTACAGTAAGTATACCTCCACCCACCCCTCCAGAGGCTGGTGGGCAAGCAGGGGTGGGGGGACATGCTGACAGGACTGGCACACAGCGTCAGGTGGTGCTGAGAAGCCTACGGGTGAAGCTGTTGCCTGGGCCCCGATGCTGGGCCACACACAGCCTCCACCTGTGTTACAAGTCGAGGATCCCAGGTTGTGCTCTTGGGGAAGCCTGGGGACACTGTTCTGATGGCAGTGCTGGGCCTACTGGAGAGGGGGCTGTTCTCCCAGGCCGGGGGGGCCCAGGGCCTGGGGCTGGGTCCTGCCAAGGAAGCCTGTCTGAGGGTAAGTCACACTCACCACCCACCCCCTGCTGGCCAGGGTCATAGTTGGGCCCTTAGCACCTGAGAAGACCTTTTGTCACAAGTGGTGGATGTGCCCAGGGACATCCTGGGAGTGGGCTTGGAGTCTGGGGACCAGGGACTGCAAGCGAAACCCTCTAAATGTTAGGAGAGCTGAAGACAGCTGAACCTGGGGTGACATATCTCAAGATCCTGAGTTGACAGGGTCTCTGGGGTAGAGCCAGCCACACACACACACACACACACACACACACACACACACGAGTCTGACAGGAGTCTGGTGGCTTGTATCTCCTCGATCCACCAACCTCCCCCAACACACACTTGCTCCCCTCCGGACTTCACCGTCTAGAACTGGACGGGAGGTGGGTGGGCCTGATGTTGGGAAGCACACCCTGCAGTAAGAGTCCCTCCAGCCTCTCTGTGGAGAAGCAGGGCAGAGAGGCAAGGCCGGCAGGAGCGCGGAAGCCGGGCCCTGGGCAGGGATGGCACTCGGTGAACACTTGTCAGGTGAACGGATAAACAGCCCTTGCTCAGGTGCTGGGATGTGTGCTCAGGGTCAGGCAGCGCAAGAGTTGGGAGGATGTGGGAGGCTGTGCAGGCCTCCCCCATTCCAGACACAGGGAGACCAAGGTCCAGCAGCACGGTGAGGGCGCTGGGGCTAGGAGTATGGGTCCCGAAAGGCCTCGTCAACATGAGCCCCTCTGTGCCCGCAGCCCAGGCTGGAGAAGTCGGGTAGATTAGTGCCAACACCTGCTGTCGGGCTCCTCGGGGCTGTGGTTCCTTCTGGGACCCCTGCGTGGGCAGGCGGGAGTGGGCTTTCTGAGGCTCCGGCCCTGTCCCCAGCCTCTCTGTGCCTGTCCCTTGTCTCCTCTGTGGCCATCTCAATGCCCTGGCCTGTGCGGCCTGCTCTTCACTGTGTTCTGTGTCTCCCCTGTCCCCTGCCCCCTCTGGCTCTGTCTTCTCTCTTAGTTGCCTACTTGAAGGACCGAAGGCTGAGTGGAGGAGCAGGTAGCCCCAAAGCCCCTCCCCCATGCATGGACCCTGGCCACCCCTGCTCGCTCCTTCCTCCATGCAGTGCTGCAGCCAGGCTGCATCTCGCTGTGGTTTGGAATCTTCCTGTGTCCTGTTCAACTCAAAAGCTCCAAAAAGTCTCTGTTCTGCAGACCCTGGCCCACTGTGGGCTCTAGCTTGGCTGGGTGGCAGAGCAGTCTTGCTTCTGAGTTGCCCTGAGCTGCGTGGCTTCCAGAGCTCTGGGGGCCAGAACCAGACCCTCCTCAGAGGTAGATCCCAGACCCCGCCCTGCCCAAGCCACACAGGCGGCGTTCTGGAGAGTAGAGTTTGCTCCCTGCAAGTCTCGCTTGTGCAGCTATGAATGAGGGCAGAATCTGAATTTAGGACAGTGTGAGGCCACCACACCGTGTCCTCCTTTACAGAAGCAGTCCTCCTTCCCCACCATCATCCGCTCTTGAGAGGCACAGTCGGAAACCCAGTGCCTCTCTGCACCGGCTTAGGGGTGCCTAGTCAGCTGCTGAGGGCCCTGCTGGCTGTGGCCTCTTTGGCCCATCACTGTCAATGGTACTGCATGCCCCCAGGCCTGCCAGAGGTATCGCCAGTGCCCTGGCTTGGGAGGGCCTCCGTGCCCTCGGTGGAACGGCTCACTGGCCGCTTTGCTTGCATCATCCTCCTGCCAGCAGGCGCCTGGTCCTGCCTGCCAGTCCTCACGCCCATTCCATCTCTGCCCACAGTGCCCTCGGCCAGCATGACTCGTCTGGCACGCTCTCGTACCGCGTCCCTCACCAGTGCCAGCTCAGTGGATGGCAGCCGCCCGCAGGCCTGCACCCACTCAGAAAGCAGCGAGGGACTGGGCCAGGTCAACCACACCATGGAGGTGTCCTGTTGAAGCCCTCGGTCCCACCGAAGACACCCACCTGCCCACCCGCGTCGAGGTCCCACTGCCATCTTTGCGCCAGCTCATTTTCCCTTTAGTTTATTTTTGTGGGGGCAAAGGGGTTACTTCTCTTGTGTGTGAAAAAACAAGGGGATCCATCTTAGATGCTGCAGCGGAACAGTCTCCAGATGGTTTGAGGGGCTCACTCCTCCCCCCATCCCACTCAACATGCTGACCTGGCTGACTCCTGCCATCCCACTCCCTGTGGCCCAGGCCTGGGCAGGGGGGAGCAATGGGAGGCAGGAGATGAGTGAAGCATCCAGACTGTTCCTGGATTCAAGCTAGTTCACCTTGGGATGAGCCCTTGGACAGGCAGGTTTGAGGATGGGAGGGGCTTTGAGGGGGTGGGTCCTGGGCCAGCAGGAGCACGAGTCCGGCTCAGGCCCTGGTGTGGGAGCTGGAGTGCCCTTCCCCCACCCGTCACCAAGCACACCTGTTTGTCTTGTAGCACATGTGACAATCATCTGGACAGTGGCCACAAGGGGTGCTCTGACCAGGCAGCGGTTTTCCTGGTGCTCTGGGCCGGGCTGGTGCTGTAGGGCCAGGCAGGCAGGGGCTGAAGGGGTTTATCTGCCTAAGGAAGACAGAACACGGAGAACCCTGAGGGCAGGAATGCCAGACTGTCCCTTCTAGCCCACACACTCTGCCCCCTCCTGACCCTGTCCCATTTCTGAGCCGAGGTCTCCCTGAGGCGGAAGGTCACCTGGTCCTCTGGTCTCCATAGTGACCTGACTAGAGGGTGAGGGAGAAGGCTGGGATGGCCAGTGTGTGTTGTGTGCACCCCCAAGGACTTTGCGGTGACTGCCTTTGAGAGCCAGCAGGTAGCCAGAGGCACGGGAAGCTGAGAGTCTTTGTAGACCCCTCTTTGCCCCCAAGTTCCCTAGAGGACAACCCAGTCAGCAGCAACGTGGTATTTCTAGGCAGAGCTCTGGTCAAGTGTGCCAGCGGTTCCTGTAGGCATCGTTGACGAAGAGAGTTTATTTGGCAAGAACTGGCCCGAGGCAGCGAGGCTTCTGCAGCCCCACATCCACATCTCCGCCTGCTGGACAGGGCTTGGGCTAGGACTTGCTGGGTCCTGGGTGTGGGCTGAAGGTCCTTGAAGTGAGCGAGTGATGAGTGCCAGGTAGAGGAGAAAGGCTCTCCACACGCCCCAGCCCCCTCCTGCCCCCCGAAGCCCAGGACTGTGCCGTATATGTCCCGTCTACCCACCTTACCCAGGAGACTCTCCTGGCCCAGAAACCAGAGCCATTCGCCTTGGAGCCTAGATCAATGGTCACAAACCCCGAAACAGGAGACAGCGATGGACAAATGAAGGGCTGTGGGGGGGGGCTGTGGGGTGTTCTGAGGCTGAGGACACCTACATCCATGTTTCCTCCATACACATCACCCTCCTAGAATCTTAAGCCATGACTAGACTGCTCTAGAGCCTTGTGGAGTGTTCGTCTGTCCCAGTTCTATTCACTCACGTGCTTCCTTTGAACACTGAATGTGACTGTTTGAAAGCTGGTAGAATTAATCCCTCTTACTGTAGATAGCAATGCGAATCTTGAATTTCTTTTTTTTTTTTTTGCTGTGTTTTCAGGTGAGATGTCTATAAATATACATTATATATATATGTATATCAGGTCCTCCTGCATATGGTTTTCCCTCGGAGGTTGTCTCTTCTTTGGTCAAGGTAAACTTTTAATGGAGTTTATTATTTTCTTCTCTGTACAAAACGAAGAGCCTACTTTTGTGTATTCTGGTGGTTGATGTCATGAGACTTTGAGATGACAAAATGTAAACAAGATGAAAATCCTTGTCAACGTAGAAAGAGTTAACTGTGCTGAAAAACTAATAAAGAGCCTAAGAAGAATTGGAGTGTGGTGACGCTGTGCCTGCCGCAAGAAGCTTTTTTATTTTTATTTTTGAGTCAGAGTCTCACTCTGTCACCCAGGCTGGAGTGCAGTGGCATGTTCACAGCCACCTCAGCCTCGACCTGCTGGGCTCTGGTGATCCTTCCACCTCAGCCTTCCAAGTAGCTAGAACTGCAGGTGTGCGCCATTATGCCAGCTAATCTTTTTATTGATTGTAGAACCAAAGTTACCAAGTTGCCCAGGTTGGTCTAGAGCCCCTGGGCTCAGACAGTCTTCTTGCCTCAGCCTCCCAAAATGCTGGGATTACAGACATGAGCCACCATGCCCAGGGAAAGTTTTGAAGAGATAGAATGTTTAGGCCAGGGTTGCTGGTGCAGTGTGGGTTTGGGGTTGACAGTGCCAGGAGAGGACAGGGACTGTCTCCACCCATCCCTACTTCTAGTACTTGCCACACACGTTTTACCTGGAAGACAAAATGACAAACATAAAAAACAGTATATGCCTATTTCTGCTTAAGCCCCTGACTCTGACAAAATACAGCTCTCCAGGAAAACTGCTTTAAAGACAAAACAAAATAAAACACATGTCTCCCAACGGTCTCTTGCCTGAGCCAATACATTCCTTAAAAGATAAATGATCAGCCGGGCTCAGTGGCTCAGCCTGTAATCCCGCGCCTTTGGGAGGCTGAGGTGAGTG